AATGAGAACAAATAGGTCAAGGCCTACGTCAACAGCCCCACATGGCATGTTGCAGAGTGCGGGTCCACCAATGCAACCTATGCCTTTGCCGATCTTCCATAGCCGATTCTTTGGAACTTCGATGTGTCCATTAACTCCGATTAGCCACCATCCTCCCTGTGTGGTGGTGTGTCCATCGACCACTTCCACGAAATTGGTCGAGATCTCGATGGGCTGTGCGTTGTTGTATCCGGAAATTGTTTCGGGACTGTACTGTATCACGCTATCACTTTGAGTCACAATTTGTGCATTGAAATCTGAAAACGCCGTTGCAGACGGAAGAGTAGATAGCTGGATGGTTGTAATGAGACCATATCTGGAGACAGCAACCTCTCCAGCGCAACCTGGGCCCGCACTCGCTGATATGAGTGATTGACTCGGGCTGGTATTGGTGATTGAAGATTTTCCATCCGCAAGAGTGGTGATGAATCCAATCCCAACAATGGCAACACCGTCTGAATGTGAGCAAAATGAGATGATCGCTGGCCAACTTCCACCACTTGTTTTGGTACTGCTGAGTCCAGATGGGACATGAGTTATCGAAGCAGTGGTTGCTTTTGCTGAAGCAGTAGTGGCAAGAAGGTGTGGTTTTTCGGTAGCAGCTGCAGTACTTACAATGGCGCCCGCGCGGCTTTGAATTTGGCTTGACCTTGATAACCTCCGGTTGGTAGTAAAGTTACCGTTAGGACCCGGAACAGAAGTCACTGCGGCTACTTTATGGGAATCGCTTGATTCTGGAGACCATTCTGACAAGGACTTGAACTCTGTAGTAAATGACCCGTTGCCCAAGCCCGCAGCCGAGTAGGGAGAAGTGGACACTCTAGCCGAGTAATTGTTTGGGTTGCTCGATCCAGTGCGGAGAAGCTGAGTATGAGCACTTCCTCGGCTCCATGTTAGTCCTAAGGTAGCTGGAAAGGACTCATTCCTAGCAGACGGTGTGGTTCGAGTTAAGCTGTGTTTCGAAGTGGTGTTTGCAAAGATCACTTCATTTCGAACGGTAGATGAGGTCTCCCTGGTGGTCTTCTGTGAGCCCTGGGATGTATGCGATGATTCAGCAATTCCAGAGGGGGATGAAACGTTGTTACTTGTGGCCCAGCTGCTGGACAGTGCTGGTGTTGAAGTAGTATGAGCCTCGATGACCATAGGAATAGTGGACTCTACAACCCTAAATCCGCGTAAAGAGCCTTGAAATGTCTGGGATGTTGGACCACCTGTTGTGTTTTTGCTTGTTGCCAAGGAAGAATTACGTGCCTGAGTAGGGTGCACGCTCAAATGTGTAGAAACCGTGTGGCTGGTAAGTTTAGCAACGTGCGTTGGAAGATATGTTGCGCCATTGATAGACTCCGTGCTAAGGACGCGATCTCCGACAACATTAGCAAAGCAAGAAGTGGGAAAAATTATCGTTGACAAGAACAAACAGGACAAGGAACGCATACTGTCAGTGCAGAATGAAAGTAAAAGAATGAGGTGGACTACGCATGCAAAAGAACGTGATAGATCTAACAAGAGATTATATCTCGGACGTCGCAACACACACCCCAATGCCGGACGAAACATGGCAATATGTTTATATTAAACAGCTGCGACCTGTTCGGCCCATGATGACCGCCAAAGCATTGGTTATGAAGGCTAAGACGAACTACTCGTATAATCCAGAAGTGGGTTCTTTGTTAGAGTGAGGACACCACCAGATTAACCGGAATTCGGCTGAGTGGAAGGATTTACTGGTGTCCTCGCTCTATCAAAGAATTCAAAAGATTTTGGCGTGCCACTTTGCAGGAGCTGACTTGTAATGGCCATTTGGAAATTCAACAAACCAGTAGAAAGGTCTTTCTTTGGCCTTTTTTATCGTTGCATGAGTTGGTAGATAAGGTAAGCTAGTACATCAAGGTAGCTTAGGCAAGAAGCTAGTGTCTGCGTTAAGTGGAGCTAAGAGAAAAGTTGCAAAGTAGACTGTTTGAGATTGAGGGAATTCTTGGCTCACTCAGCCAATCAGCATGACCCAACTCACATGTACATTCGCTATGAATATCTTCTTGGCAGTCTGGTGCGGGAATACCCGCCAATCAAACAATCTACTTAGTCGAGGAAACGCGAAGTACTAGGAAATACGAAATCTTAAAGCCAGAGTGAGGAATGCCAACACACCCGTAGCCCACGGAACCCTGAGCTTGTGATACTTGGCAGCAGCAAAGAGTGGGGCTCCAGCTCCCAGCAAACTTCGGAAGGAAGTGCTGGCAGCGATTGCACTGTGGGCGTACCACTTGTAGCAATCGACTAAGTAGCTGAGACCTGCACGAAGACGATGAGAATGCCCGCCCCGACTGGGATTCCGGCGAAAAGTCGCGAAACCCATAGCTTGTGGACACCCGGAAAGCTGGACCCGCCCCACCAGAAGAGACCAATGGTCAACGATGCTCCACCAAACATCATAGGCGGAAGCCTCTCTTCAAGGAGTACTCGTCCATTTGTCTCTAGCTTGTGACGATAAACCTTTTTTGACCACCATCCGATGTAGCCACCGCCGAAGAAGACGCCAACCACGATGGAGAGGAAGGGGAGGGCCCCAACGCCTTCGTTTCACCCACGCTTCTCTCAGAAGGAGATAAGGAAAGTTTCGAAGAAGAGGTAGAGTATGCCATACACCAGACCCATGTATCTGGATATGTAGAAAGTGGTCAGTCTGTGGCCTTGTGTGCTGATGTAAGGAATGGGAAAGCTACTGTTTTGAGCTTTCAGGGTGACACGCACGAGAACAGGTTCTCGCCATATCATCGTGAAGGGCCTGAAGAGATATTCTTGTGCAATGACCAGTGCATTGATCTCCATTTCATTCGCTGCAGCGTGAATAGCTCAATTCTTGGTCTTCTAACGGATTCGTTCGGCCTGAGTTTGGGTTTGAAGGATCAGAGGGGGGCAGGTCTCTTGAAAAATGAAGGGCCCTAGGACGAAACCAGAGAAGCCGAAGATCACGGTGATCCACTCCGTCCACCGCCATCGCGGATAGCTGATCGTAATGAATGAACCTATGACTGGGACAAGGACAGGACCGACAAATGTCATCATGGCGAACATTCCCAGCGCGGAGCCACGCTCGACAGGGTCTCAGAAATCAGCGAGAGCTCCTGAAACGACAGCGAGAGGCGAACATCAGAAGAATCCGGCGAAGAAACGACATATCATTATCGAATTCTTCTGCAGTGACTTATGGACGCCGTGCTGAACATAGTGCTTGCAAATGTGATGATGGCCAGCGTCATAAGAGCCATCGTAAGGGAGACCATCCATTTGTGGCCTTTTGCACAGTTCATGAGGTTCAAGGAAGGGTTCAAGGAAGGGTCCCAAGTCTTCAAATTCGATGAGATCTGGGTCTTTCGGCGGTTGGGCGGGATCTTGATGCGCTGCAGGCGTAGCGTTCCCCTCTGTAGTACTGGTTGCTTTTCGAGGTCTCCGCTGTCGCAGTCCAAAGTGCCAGCTGGCGACTGTTCGATGGATGTGTCCTCGTTAAGACAATTTTTTGATGGATTGCCGCGCTATTCTCATTTGTGAATGCAGACATTGCAGAGGACTGGTCATCGGCTCCCAATAAGGGTAAGGAATATTTGTTGTTTTCAAAGAGATATGGGCTTGTTCTCTCATGAATATGTCGAGAAAATAAGAGCTCGAGGCATTGAAGGCCTTCAGGGCTAGATTCCACAAAATTTTGGGACGTTGGGTGTGAGAACGGGGGAAGAGAAGGGCGAAAAAGGATGGAGAGGTGGTAGTAGGAGAGGATGATGCAAAATCCCACAGGCAATTGGCAGCTGCGATGAGGCTAGGATCTAAATCGTGCCAGCTTTAACACCAAGTATGGGAGAAGCGCATTGCGTGATGGAAGGAGTCAACGTGGCTATCGAGGTCAACCAAAAGCGAGCGGGAAGCGAAAGAGTAAATCAAGAACGAGCGGAAAGCGAGAGGTCAGCAAAGAGTCAGCGGGGAGCGAGAGAAGACGAGTTGTGATACTGTACACTGCTTCATACCAAGAACCCTGCGTTCCAGTCTGCCAGAACAGACAGCCGAGGACGCAGAAGCCAAGATTTGGGATTTGAGAAAAGGAACGATAACCGTCTCACGCACTTACCTCGATAGCGAGGTCAGAGCATTGCAGGATTAGGAGGAGTAGGAGGAGAGGAGGTCAAGTCGATTAATAGTTCAACTCTCGCTTCCAAAGTTGCCGAAAGTCCGAAAGCGCGAGGCAGCGTCTGGAGACTTTCCTCTTCTTGGCCTAGTGGTTGGTGATGGCTTAACGCACGGAAGATGCCGAAGCCATCGCCGGTGACCGGACAACAAGAGTATGGCTCTGCCCTTTGTTTGAAGCACAGCATTATTCATTGCTGATTCTTCTTGCAAACGCATTCTCTTTGCTTGCAGTTCACACGTCTCGATATCATGCCCTGGCCTTTCTCTCTTCTCCGTGATAATGAACAACACTCCTAGGCTTTGCCAAGAATGTTGCACTTTTCTTGTAAAACACTATCAAATGTGTAGGTATCATCCTTAACAGTGTCAGCTCACTTCTGAAAGGATTTTTTGGTACCCCTGCATTTAATCTCGTCAGCTGCGTAACGATAGGTATTGATTGTCATGAAAGATGAAATGCAAGGGGGTGTGATAAATGTCACCACACCTAAATCTTGATCCGTAGACATATGCAGTTGCGCCTATGTCGCTTTGCGAAGTTCTTCCTCTAGTCAGACCGTGCCATCGCCGGTCATCGGGAAGTCCAAGCCTGAGGTAGGTGGCAGTGTTTTGGCCTCCTAGCGGTCGTGGTGAACCTGGGTTTCGGAGTCTGTAGAATTCCAGTCCGAAAAAATGGAAGATATTAGTCTAAGTGATATTCTTGCTTCGATGTCTCATGCATGAGAGACATATATTACCTTGGAAAAATCAGTGCATCTACTCTTCTTACCTGGTGGACAGACATGGCCATCTCACAAGGAAACAGTATTCAAGTTGAGGGACTTCTGGTGAAAGAGTTCAAAGACTCCAGTCTGTCGAGAGAAAGTAGTTCATGGATTGATGATTCACTAGTGCAGGAGCTGAGAAATGCGCTGGGTAATTCCACGGTATTGACACCGGAATCCGAAGGTTATCAGGCTAGCATCAAACGCTGGAGTGATGCAATTGAGAAGAGAGCCGTAAGTCAAATATAGAGATGTTGTGTGCCCGATTCCGAGAATTCGCTGACAATGAAAAGGGTGTGGTCGTGTTCGTAGAGTCAGCCCAAGACATCTCAACCTGTATCAATTGGTGTCGCCAATATCTTATCGACTTTGTTGTTTGTGGCGGGAAACACTCATCCAGCGGTGCATCTTCCATCGAGGGCGGTCTAGTGATTGATCTTTCTTCGAAGCTGCGAGAAGTCAAAGTTGATCCCGACACCAAAACTTTGCGCGTGCAAGGAGGCTGTATATGGAAAGATGTTGATGAAGCTGCCGGAAAGTATGGACTAGCCATGGTTGGTGGGACTGTGAACCACACCGGAGTCGGCGGTCTAACACTCGGCGGGGGTTATGGTTGGCTTTCAGGACGACACGGTCTTACTGTCGACTGCTTACTCGAAGTGGAGATTGTGCTAGCAGATGGCAGCATCAAGATCGCTTCCGAAAATGAGAATCCTGATCTTTTCTGGGCAGTCCGAGGCGCTGGCCACTCATTCGGTGTCGTCACAGAATTTAGATTCCAGGCCCATGATCAGAAAAACGAAGTCTGGTCCGGCCAAATCGTTTTCGATCCCGCAGAAAACCTCGTGCCCATCATTGACTTCGCCAATCACCTTGCCAAGGTCACAGACGGAGACTCCGGTATGGCTATGGCTCTTGCGACACCACCGTTCATGGATTCACCGGCAATTATCGCCACACTTTTCTATAACGGCCCACAGGAAGAAGCGGAGTCTTTGTACAAACCACTCCTTATCTTGAACGCTGTCAAGAAGATGACAGGAATGCGGCCATATTCGACCATGAATTCTATCCTAAACTTCGCCGTCGAATACGGTGGGCGGAAGTGCACAAAGGGTGCCTCGGCGATCACACCGCTGAACCCGAATTTCGTCCAGAATCTCCTCCTTGACATTGCCCTCTTCCACAAAAGTATCCCTAACGTCAAAAAAACGATGGTGAATATTGAGATTTTTAATCCCAACAAATGGTGTGAAGTCCCTCGTGACGCTACTTCGTTCTACAATCGCGGTCGGTACCAGAATGTAGTGATTGCACCTTACTGGGAAGACCCGCAGCATGACACAACATGCCGCCTCTGGGCCAGAAACATTGCCAAAAAGTTCAGAATTGAGATCGACTGGAGGAGCAAGATGTTTGGGGACGCCATGTCAACGCAGGAGATTGGAGAGTACGGCAACTATGATGGTACGTGTTCGTCCTACGTTATGACAAATACTACCTTGCTGATGGCAGTAACAACAGGACTCCGAGCAGATTCGCATGTCATTTTTGGCAGCAACTACAATCGACTGGTGGTCCTCAAAGAGGAGTACGACCCCGACGACGTCTTCAACAAAGACTACGCCTTTCGAAACTCGCAAATAAGCACGGACACGTCAGATACAATCATTCCGAACAAAACTGACCTTCACCCTCTCCAGAATGGATCAGCAGTTGCTGCTAAAATGGAAAATGGAAGTGACAAAGCGAATACCAACGGTATGGGTAGCTATGAAGGCGGTATACCGACGCCAGAGTCGATGCAAGATCGAAGCGAGATGATCGACACTGTCGGGTGAGGTAACCGGAGGACAAGGGAAGACCATGTATTGCTTTTGCTTTTGGGCGTAGATTGAGGCGTTATCCGAACATGATCGTTCCGTCCTTTGTAACGAGCTGATGCACATTGCAACACATTCGCAAATTACCTAGCACCGGTTCATTCAGCCGTTGGGCCATCGATCAGACGTTTACACAATTTCACCCTCTGTCAAAACAAACCTTGATCCTTGCCCCAATTCTGGCATCCAGAAGCAGGCAGTGCAGATCCTCCTGAAACTAAGCCCAGCGGAGCCCTCGCCAAAGGTGCTGACCTGGAGATCTTTTCGTCGGAGACCAGTCTCATCTCACTCATCACGGCAGCGAAACGATGACCGCCACGTGTTAGGGCATCGTCAGTAAGAAGATCGACATATGGAATCTAAATCCGGTGGGCGTGCCGACCGTAGCCCGTCTTTCGGTGTACGAACTCGTCCACGCTTCGACTTTTTCGGTCAGTCTGACAATCATGGCAATCGGCGCCCCAGTAGCGAACATGCCTAAGCTGCAAGGGTTACTCGCAGTGGCGAGTGTGCATTTGCGGGTTTTTGGGCGGTCTGCTTTACGTCCAGGTGCCGAGGGATGTGCGAACGGAATCGATTCTGTTTCTTGCGAGAGGCGAGGACGCCAGGATGGAGATATGTATACCGGACCCTTCCTTCATCGTGATCGTTAGCAGCGCAATCGACAGACAATACGAGTACTCACTTCCTTCCTTCCTTCCTTCCTCGTGCACATGGCCAATCCCCCCTATCCCATCGTCGACAAATACCAACAACCATCACGCACACCGCCGCGCTCTTCCTCTCCCTCCTCAGTCCCATTTTCATCTCCATCTCCACCCTCCCCCTCACCACAAGCGACTCCCCTCCACCGCCGCGACCCAGGCGACACGCGAGAAACCGTCGATATCTCCGACCGTACCACTGCCTTTGAAACGGACTGCTACCAAATTTACACCGCCAGCCCACCGACACCGCTCGGACCGGCCCCGCTGCCGTCGCTCGTGACCTGGACTCAGCGGACTAAACTCCGGCAGGGGGATTTCTTCAACGTGGCGACCAATGCGGGTGCGGTTGTCTGCGGGCGCCGCCAATAACACTGCTGGGTTGTATCCACCGTGTTTTAGGGACAGGAGACAGATGGGTTGTGAAGACGGCTGGGGGAATGAGTGCAAGAGCTAGTGTTTCTGTATGGGTGTGAGTTTTGGACGGGTCTTGTTTTGCCTTGTCAATTTTGGGCCTTGTGGTTGTAGGGACCGTGCTGATGGTGCTTACCGTAGGCGATTACAGAGGGTATGTCTGGGTTTTGTTCTGCGCCCGAATTATTTTGAGTGGAGTGGTGGCAGAATTGGGGGCGTTTCGGTGGCAGAGATGGTGCGGGATGGGGGTAGCGCTTTTGACGGTGGTTATGTTATTACTTTCTGCTTACCTTGGGATGGACAGGTGTAGTTTCTTGTCGTGTGGTGGGTTATGAGTCTGTAATCTTTTAAATAAATCGAAACCAACTGAGTTTGCATTGTTTTGTTCTATGATTCTCTATCGAAATTGTGTCTCTTTTGAGAAAAGAAGGCGTCTACAATCTGCGAGAATCCAGGAAACTAGATCGTAGAACCTAGATTTCAGTCTGGTCGCCATCGAACGCCCAGAATTGAAGACCAGAAAGTGGTCTAACGGCAGCGTGTTGGCCATGTTGTCTCCCGTTATCATATTTCTCATCCTTTGGTTGCCAGACAGTAACAACATCTGTTACTGCGATGTGCGGTGCTCCCGCATGTCCCGATTCAATCCCTCGGCGTCTCAAGGGTGACACGTAACCTCTTCTGAAGGTAGTATACCAAATCCTCATAAGCCTTAGACTCATACTTGCTTTCCTGATCATCTGGCCCAGTGCCGCAAAAGAGATGTTCGAATGTCTTTATGAGCGCGCTGACTTTGGAAAGCTCAAGTTTGAGAATATCCAGTATCATCCTCTCTTCATCCTCCTCGTCGAGCTGATATGCACCCATTGTTAGTCGCACGGGCACTGGAGCTAATGATGGCTTCGTCATGCCGGTGAGCGATCTCGGCGAGGCCAATGTGGAATGGTGCTCTATGTTGATGCCATTCGGTTCAGATGACTCAGCGCTGTCCCCGTCGCCGATCCCAATATCAGTGAAATATGTGGATTTAACAGCGGGCCTTCGACAATAGCCCTTCGTGAGGTGATGCGATCTATAGATAGTCTCATAAACGGCGATGACTTTGGCTATAAGCGCAGTGAGGATTAGAACGAAGGATATATCACGGTGCTGATGTGTTTCATGGTTGAGTATGCTGTGACATAGGGCAATAATGTGTTTGTTTTGATTCAGGGCGGCATCGAAGGCAGCTGGCACGTCGGGTGTTGCGGTGAGGGTGAGCAGCTGCTGCAAGATTTTGCGACCGCAAAGGCAAGCATCATTACTTTGGAAGAGCGGTGATTTTTGTGCCTCGGATAGTAGCGTTGAACCAGAAAATGTCCGGCATCTGGATGGTTGGGGGCTAATTTGAGGCCTGGCAGCGAAGGTGTATCGGGGATCGAATTGGAAAGTATTCAGCGACAGGTCAGAGTGACTTTGCGCGATACTAGGCTTCCAGGACTGCTCTTGGGGGCTTATGTTTTTGTTATTCAAGTCCATGGAGTTGCTTGGTAGATATGGATTGTCCTCTGCCAAAAAAGACGACCAGTCCGTATTCACAGGCATAGAATCCAGGATCGACGAGAACGCTGGCTCCAAAGTTCGGCTGATCTCGGCCGTGGAGAAGGTCGGTATCGGAGTGGATTCTTTGGTGGAGTCTTTAGCCGACAGTGGAGACTCTGGTGAGGGTTTCTGGACGTTACTCCCGTTTGCTCGATGCTTCCCAGCTCGCAGAGATACGCCGTAGACGCATTTTACCCCCTGAGACTCGCATCGGGTACAGGAGGGTCGGCTCCGGGAGCACTTGAGCTTCGCAAGGTTGCACGAATCGCATGAGTTCCTCAGTTTCTGAACTTTGATTGAATGGCTATTGGCAGGCATGGTAAGTGCCTGGTTCTCTGGCATAAGTCTCTCCGCAGAGATGTGGAGACAGATGCAAGTTGGCTGCGCAGCACAGAATCTATCAGCGTATCAAATGGAAAGGTGGTGGACAAGCTAACAGAAGGATTTGCGCTTTCATCTCAGGTACGCTCAAAGTGATTATTTCAACTACAGCAGGAATATGAGAGACAGATTATGAATCATCAGACCGCCTCTGATCTTGACTGATACTGGTGGCGGAACAGGGAATGTTGGTCTGGAGGCTTGGACTGGGCCCGACTAAGCATTGAAGAGCATGATATTACATCGACAGGAAGATCGCTTGCTGTCAACATGACGCGTCTAGATCCCTCGTTGAATGGTACTTGACCCCTCTCACATTTCATGAAAACATGTATCGATACTGAAATTTCAGTGACTAGTGGATTTAGCTCGATTTCATGAACTTCCTAGCCAGGTGTACCAAGATTCGCTTATCTAGCTTATCTGAAGTATCTGATTTGTCGATCCAGTCTGCTCTGAGGCCTGAAATCCTGCCAACTGTTGAGCCCTACCAGAATCTTAGCCCCAGCCCAGTGGAAGCTCGGAGTTACCCGATCGGGTTAATCTAGTACATTTCACGACTTCCATCGATAAAATTTCCGCGAGATTTCATGCCAAGCATTTCGAAATTTCGAGACTTCCTAATCCCCAGTTGTAGTACTCATTGGTGCATCTGCCATGTCTGTAATTACACCTATCATGCAAGCCGATGTATCGGGAAGGTGCAGAAGGAACGCCATCTTTATCGTATCGAGGTATTCATGGCGCCTATTGGATAAAAAGCAGTGACTTCGGGAATTTATTATTTTATAGTGCAGTCCAGGACTAACAATAAGCCTGACTCGTCCACACCATCAGGTATCTCGCTGACACATCTCGAACGGGCCAATTCACTAGTTCATACCCCCTAACTGTGAGATCCTTAAGGTACCGAATCATACCTCCATACCATGTTGAGAGTATGATGCAATAATTTACCATCTTCAATCGCATGCAGCAAGAGTTCTACCGATTCCGAGGCATTTAATACAACATCAAGCGAAAGCCGAGTAGACAGCATTTTCCACTTGAAGTCCATATCAGGTACTCGTACCATAAAACTATCGTGTTGCTTCCCTATTCACTTGCTTACTTGTTTGCGTCCATCTCAACCCTACCGGCACGTGCTGCTTGCTTACACGTGCTGCCTGCATGATTACTTGCATTGCTTACTTTTTGCTTACTTGCTTATGCTTACTTGCTTGCACGCGTTGCTCAGCGATACACGCCGCTACAGAGAGACCTGACCCAGTGCCGAGCCACTACACCTCGAGGTCACACTGTTAATTGACAAACGCTAAAAAGAACATACAGGCCCCGAAGAGTGAAAGTTTTCATAGAATGGGTAAGCTGGTTTTGCGCCGTCGTGAGAAACGAATTATTACATCTACAAGTTGATTCCAAGGTAAATTACCGAATCACACCGCAAAAGTCGCTGTGGAGGTATGATTCGGAAAGGATTTCACAGTCTGGGGTAACAATTGGTAATTTGCCCGGGCTGACGTGAAACCTATTCCGCCTGGCCAACCCCAAGATTGGCTGATTTGCTTCGTTTTCAGCGAATCACTGTCCGTCCACATATTGAACAGCGACTTCCTCACGATGCCTACAGTGGCATCTTACATGCTCGCATGCGACAGACCGCCTTCTCGTCTGCAAGGTGTCAGCGTCACCGTCAGCAGCAAGTTTACCAGGATGCTGAAACGCCACCATGAGTGTCAACAACTGATGATATGTATCGTGATATCTGAGGTAAGGAGCATGTACGCAATCCCTGTATTGATATCTGACACGTTCCTGTCTCTACAAGGCCGCGTCACTTCAGCTTGGGAAAATAAGCACATGAATGCGGTACCGGTCCAAGCCATTCCAAGCTTGAAGGCCTTTTTCTGAATGCTCAATAGGCCATTTCAAAGTCTTCAAGCCTACATAATTACCACAGAGGTTTACTATGACTCACGAATGCACATGGATGTGGTGTGGGCTAGCCAGCCAAATCCAAGACAGAGTGAGCTCGTAAGTGCTCACAGTGATTGTGTCTCACGTTGGCCGCGACTTGATCACTAGGTTTGAAATCCGTCATGCCAGGGCCCACGCTCTCCACCGTGCCTGCGTAGGAGCTCCCTAGGATGCTAGAATATTGCAATGGATGAAGTAGAGACCAGTTTAACCGATATGAAAAACCGCACAGTTGGGTCTTTGGGATGCAAAAGACGGTCACTTTCGGTTTTCGAAGTCAACTGGCAGAAAAGCTAAACAGTCGTTCCTCAATTACATTTCTCCTCGTCCCGGTATATACATGTCAGCCGGACCAACAACAACATTGGCTTTGGGCTCTTTGCGCCATGCTGCTTGGTTCGACATGTTGAAGGGGTGATCGATGGAACCTATACTACCTTACATTTCAGATAGTAAAGGTTGATAGATATGAGACTACGAAAGACATTAGATTGCTCGGAATAAGAGCAGTTTGGGCGACTTCTTCTAATGGGCAATGCTGTTATCTCGAGGTTGGCTTTAAAATTCTCAGTGCTCTTGCTGAGCAGCAAAGCACTAATACCTTTCGCAGCTGTCTCACTCGGTTGTTCAGCGGGCTGGGCCCGGTCTTACTCGAACGCTCCCGCAGTCTAGCATACACGGGGACGACAGTGACTGCACGGAGTCCGTCGTAGCCCCGAAAGCGCGAGAGCCGGCAGGAGCCGGAACTGTCAAAAGAGGACGATTACAACGTCTCGGGAACTGCACGGCAGTAAGCCAGAGACCAACCCGAAGCGGGAATATTTGACATCGTTGGCCGATGCTACGCTTGCCGCAACCTCTGCTGACTGCGAAGAATTGTTAGCGATGCCATATGGGCCTTTGAAAAATTAGTACTATACCATACAACGTCTTAAAGGGACATAATTACAAGATTGTCGGCAATAGGTCAGTCTAGGATCTCTTCGGGCCAAACGCCGACCGGTCGGTGAGCGGGAGCTTCTACAGCATGTCGGATATTTCGCAGTCTCCGTTTCCACAAGACACAACATCGGTGCCATTGAGTAGACAAGCTTAAGAAAGAGCTCCATCAAACCCTTAGGCCTCACTCTCATCACATCAGAAAATTAGACCCTCTTGTACGTCCGACAGCGCTCGGTACTTCTGTAGAACAAGTGTTGAATTCCAGGGGAGATCTCACAGAATGCCTCACAAGACAGCAAACCAATCGGTCCACATAGTCCTCGGCACAGCAGGATTTGGCTCAGCCAAAGACCCCCAAGCCAAATTCAACGATGCCACCAGCGCCACCCCTCTCCTCGATCTCTTCCGCTCTCACGGCCACACAGAACTCGACACCGCCCGCGCCTACCCCGTCGAAGCGGGCGGAACTGCGGAGGAACTCCTCGGCCGTCTCGAGGTCGGCTCGTGGGCCACGATCAACTCGAAGGTGAAGTCCTGGACCCCCCACGCGCACCGCAAGGAAGGCATCGAGAAGAGCGTGGCGGATTCGCTCGAGGCGTTGAACGTGGACAAAGTCCACATCATGTTCCTCCACGCGCCCGACCGGACGACGCCGTTCGAGGAGACTTGTCGGGCGATGGATGCCGCGCATCGCGAGGGGAAGTTTGAGCGCTTTGGCCTCAGTAACTTCACGGCGGAGGAAGTTGACGAGGTGGTGGCCATATGCGGGAAAGAGGGGTTCGTGAAGCCAACGGCCTATCAGGCCAAGTATAGTATCATTGCGAGGGGTTCGGAGGAGGACTTGTTCCCTGTGCTACGGAAGCACGGGATCAGCTTCCATGCTTACAGGTAGGTTCCCTCACTGGCACAGGCGGTCTCAGGTGCAATTTGGTCCGTATGAAGCTGACGAGGCGTCGACAAGTCCATCTGCGGCGGGGTTTTTTTCTGGGAACGTCACCCGCGAATCTGTCAACTCCTCTGGATCACGTTGGGACTCGGGAGTAAGTATGATGTTGCATTCTTTCTCGGTCTAAGATGCCTGACTGACCTACATGCTTTCCTTCAACGAAGACTCGATGATGCTGACCTCTTCCCCACCGCAGACCCTCCTCGGCAAAATCTATCAGGGCGATTACTTCAAGGACGAGATCTTCGCTGCCGCTACACGGGTCAAAAAGTCGGCTGAAGCAGTCGGGCTCACAGGCCACGGTGTGGCTCTGCGATGGACCCTGTATCACTCACTGCTAAGAGCAGAGCATGGGGATGCGATCATTGTGGGATGTTCCAGCCTCGCGCAGATGGAGCAGAACCTTGAGTACATCGAGCAAGGCCCGCTGCCGAAGAACCTGGTTGAGGAGATGGGGCAGGTTTGGGACAGTGTAAAAGCCACGGCGCCGAGCTATCATAAGTAACGCGGTGGTCTGAATGAATGAGAGAGTGCTCGTTAGATGATTTGTGGTTGACATGTGCGAGTGGCCTGGACTGGAGTATCAGAGTAACATCTTTTGAGTAAATCTCGAACCTATCAAACAACTATGTGGCTTCTTGATTTTTCGAACAAGTAAACGCATGGGAATATTGACACTCAAGACACAACGATTAGGGAAGACTATTACTCGATTCACTGATTCTGGCACTATTTTAAAGAAAGACTTCGCAGGACCAAGCACAATTGGCAACGTAGACTCACTATGCGGACTATTCGGGCCATGCATTGCTCCAGTGACAGTCAGGATTTGAAAAACGAGCGGAAGAAGCCCAAGGGTGAGTAGTTAGGTGTCATGTGTCAATAGCAAAGCCCAAGGATCTGTGCGTCAAGACAGCAGTAAATGTTGTAAACGCATTCGTAGGAGTAAGAGTCCCTTTGGTATTCTTTATGATAATTTCTGACTTCAGTGTGGATTATTCCAAAGCGATGGAAGGGAGGTGTCGAATAGTCGGGGAAGTGTCCCTTCGACACATCCGTACGAGAAGTCTGAGTTTTGAGATGGTTATTTTAGAGAGCACCTGCAGCAGTGCGAGGGTAGACGAAACTCGAGAATGTTCCGACACTGATTGGCGTGGCAAGGAGGAAAGTTTCGAGAAGAGAGGTCTTCAAACCGCTGCAAGCGGGGTCGACTTTGAATCCGGTCCTGTAAATGAGATGGAACGACTCCAGCGTGTGGCTGATTTTGCCGGTTGGCAAATCCGGATCGTATCAAACCCTCGACGATCTCCCTTGGAACCTTGCCCGTAACCTGATGATCAGCCCTCAGTGGTGCCTAAAGCCCTTGCCCTTGAAACGAGAGCGCTGCAAGGGCATAGGATACTTTTTGCATAAAGCCGCATGTCCTCGAGGTGCAAATGGCTTTTGCATCATCTTTGTATTCCGTTCGTCTTACAAAAATCTTAGCAATGATAAAGACTCGATTGCAGAATCGTTCGTAACAGCGCCAGTAACGCCGGAACCGAGCCAGAGACAAGCCAAGGTGCATACAAACAGCAATCAAAACAATTAGCTTAGGACGCTCTCATGCTGTTTGTGAATATGTCTAAGACAATCATCACTCTGTGCAAACCCTTTCGTCGAATACTCGCAGTCCGCAAAGGTGCAGGAGTATTGGTTGCTCCTGCGAATGCTATGACGGCTGGAAACATGGCGTTTAAAATCTCGAGATCAATAGAAGCCTTTGGCGGTACAGTCCGCGACGCTACAGGTGTAATCCTTGTTATGGGGGTTGAGATGTTTGCTGTATAGGTGCGTCAGCTTTCTGTATAGACGAACAGTCGGCACGAAGCTCGAGACGTAGGCCTAACTCGGACATACTTGTATTTATGCTTCTGCGAAAATTCTTTGCGGCATTGTGGACAGCGTAAGGATAGATGAAGCCTCTTTCTCTGGGTATTATTAGAGCTACCAATGTTCCCGTTATACGTTGAGTGTAGAGGATACGCCGACAATTTGGACGGCACGATAGGGACTGGGTCAAAAGACGAGGGTTGCGATTTCGATTCTGCTGAAAGTGTAGGGTCTGACGGAGAAAGAGCCTGGACGGTCGAGGGAAGAGCTCCAAATTTGTCAAGCTCAGCATCTGCCTCCCATGACTCGTCTGGCAGATATGAGCCGGTTCTCGTTCTGCGGCTGTTGGTATGTTGCTATGAGGCTTCAATCTTACTAGATAAATCATGGGAACAAAGTGACTGACTGCGGGGAATTCGCCGTCCACACTGTGTGACACTGTTGACAATAAAGAGTGACCCTGGGAAAGAGCAGGAAGACTGGACAATAGACTTTCGACCGACGCGCGCACCAAAAGATCTTGCGGATATACAAATTGGGGGAGATAGCTTGTTTCGTATCCTTCCGTCCCGTGGCGGCTGCTTTTGAGTTCCAGAAAACCGATGGTGGTCGATTCCCAGGAGCTATATCATCCCGAACGTAGACGTGAACAAGCTGTTGCGCGACTCAGCGCAACATCGTCTTACAAGACCTCGATAGGCCTTCGATGCGACACGAACAGTAACATCTATACCTCAAACACCGCAGAATGCATCCGAAGCCGGCAGAGTAGAGCCTGGAATGCTGCTCTTCTGCGTTCAAGCTTGGTCTTGATCGCTTCTAGAGAATCTCTTCTGCTCTAGTACGCTCACTGGCGTCCGACGAGGCCTCTTCCGCAAGCGCTCTATAGTTGCTATCATCTGCGTTGTTCCGATTGGTGGTTTCGATGACGGACGAGTCTTGGTCTGCGCGTAGTTGTCTAGTTGAAGTTGGTGCCGTTTCTTTCGCAGTCAAGTCCATTATAGGGAAGTTTATGAGAGGAAGGAATTTCGGAAACTGAATGTGATTAGAACCTATGACTGGGGCTCGCGCCCCAGGTGTACCGCCAGAAAAAGTGGCAGTTGGAGTGATGGAAACCCCTTGAATGTTGACAATATCAGCACGAACTTCGAGATTTATGGTCTATGAAGATCTTAGTTCGCTCTGTTTCTGCACGTCCGTTGCCAGATTATTGGTTCGTTGCCTATGATTGCACTAAATTTAGAGGACGCCAGTGCCCAGGGCTGTCCCTTTCCGTGGTAGCTTTTCCTGGCGCTAAAGTAGCAAAGGCTTAGCTAGAGATGTAATTCATTGAGTTGCAGAGCAAACGTACTATGATGAGCTCGACCTGCAGCTGCTTGCCATGGTGTAGAGCATGCCTTCAAGCCATGCCATCCATGTGCAGTCCACAACTCCAGCCCTCAAAACTCACTGCAACATAGCGACCAAACACCTCCCGTAGTCTCCACTCGTTTCCCCCCGGACTCTCCCAATCAGATCCTGCCTATACCTCGCCTTATACGCCCCTTTTATTTGCTGCAGATGCGCCGGGTCCCAATGCAGCTTCACGATCCTGGTAACCAACATTTCATCCTTCGTCCCCATCCCTGCCATGGCATGTTCGATGTTGATAGCGTCCCGCATCGCCCTATCAGTTCCGCATCGGACCATTTGCACGAGAACGTCTTCCATATGACCCGAGAATTCGTGGATAAAGACCTTTTCAAGCGACCGTCGGTATCTGTGTTCGTATGCGTGGGCAATTGCACGAATCTGGGCGTCAGAGCGCTTGCTGAGGAGCGAACAGACGGTCAATTGTTCGGCGCCTACTCTAGCTTCTGTACAGCGGTGGATTTCGGTGACGTCTACTTCGATCGATTGAGGGATCACTGGGGCTGATTCTTCTTGTCGGGTAGCGGAGAGTATCATAGAGAAGAGACGTTCAGTCTTAGCAGAGAGGTCATCGCGGACGTCGTGCTCAAGACTGCGGTGATAAGTGTGGTGGTAGGCTTGTTTGATGGCTTGCATATCGGCGTTGGAGCGGCCGATTAGAACTTCGTTGAGGAGATCCTCGTCGGTTCCGGCACCTTTGAGGGCTTTATTTAAACACCAGACGTCTTGTTGAAGGGGACCTCGAAGGATAGAGAGAAGGCAGAGCTCGAAATGTCCGCTCACTTCCTTTTCGACATCATGTTCTAGGTCTCGGCCATGCCGTTGTCGGAAGGTTTCCTTTATGACTGGGACTTCGAGTGGTGCGATTCTTGTGAGAACTCTGATAAGTGCAGCTTCATCCGTACCGAGCCCTTTCATGGCTTTCCGACACTCGTCTGCTTGACGAGACATATCGACATGGGCTACTTGGCCAGGAACGTATCCAGGCGAAGGTGGAGTCGGCACTGTCTGAGGGGCGCCGTAAGATTGAGGTGGCGGAGCTCCATAAGGTAACGCTTGGGGTGGGGTACCATAAGTGTTTTGCTGTAGTGGTGGAGGTTGTCCATATCGCTGATTTGGGGTAGGGGCACCATACTGCTGTGGTGGGTATTGGCCTTGGGGCGGTGGTGCTCCGTAAGGTGACTGTTGGGAGGGAGGATGCCCTTGCTGCTGTGGATTTGGGCTCTGAGGAGGAGCCCCATAAGGCTGCTGAGGTGGAGGGTATCCTTGCTGAGGAGGGTATGGACTGTGAGAAGGAGCTCCGTACGGTGGTTGTTGGGGTGGTGGGTAGCCCTGATTGTAATGGGCCTGCGGTGCATATCCTCCCTGCTGCTGCTGCTGTGACGGAGGCGGCCGACCTGGTCCGATTGTAGCACCTTGTAGATACCCTCCGTGTGGGGCTCCACTCTGGCCACCCTGCCCATAGCCTTGAGATGGTGGAGGAGGGGGACCATAGCTCTGGTGTTGAGGTGGGTATCCTTGAGGAGGGTATTGGTTCGGTGGAGGTTGCTGGTATCCCTCTGTCCAACAGTGAGTAAGTTCCAAATGGCAGATGAAAACCAGTATACTGACGTGGAGGAGGAGCGCCATATTGCTGTGGATAGCCACCTTGATACGACATGACTGGAGGGTTTCGCAAATCTAGCTTCAACAACGAAAAGAGAGATCGTATGAAATCTAAGGATAAGGCTGCCAAAGACTCGGAATAAAGGGAGGAGAAGGAGGAAGAGGAGGAGGAGGAGAAGGAGGAAGAAGAAAATGATTTAAGTGAATGCGGGTCAGAGGAATTGAAGACATGTAAGACATGTTGAGGCTGTGTGCGATCCTTGGCGCTCACAAACATGAGCGGAGTAGAGTATTATGGAAAATTCCGGTACCTGCGCCTGAATGACGAACTCAGTGAGGCTGAGATGTGGCGTTGCAGATTGCCTGCATTAGCGTCGTCGATGATCGCGATTACAGTATCATCAGCGTGCTCGAACAGCTACAACATATTCCCCCTGCTGAATTTGAGGAAGACACGCTTCACTCATCCAGGTGGTTCTCATACTGCTCATCTCCAACAGTCGCTGCTCAGTCCTTGACCGTGACCACTCCAATTTCATTGGCATCCTTTTACAGGAATCCTACCATACTTTGGTCACTATTCAAGAGTCAAGATCCAAGGAGCGATGCTCATGGCGCGGCAGAATTTGGATTTATTCACAATTTCACGGGAAGTTTTCGCGGTCCGATGGGCTTTTGGTTCTCACGGAATCTTTACGGCACGTCATGGCTTCCGGGTCGTACTTTAGAAGCCGTAATCTGGGCTGCGGTCCTCAATTTGCAGGGTATACTTCCAGCACTTTTTCCACACCGCATCCCAAGCCCAGTGAAAAATCAGAAAAACGTGAGCGTGTACAACATGGTCCAATTTGCTGCTTTTTTCGAAGTGTGCCACTTTTTTGGAAGAATCTCTGGAATCCCTGACGAAAAAGACTACATCAACGACCTGTGAGAAGATAAGATGGGAAAGCTAGTTTGAAGGTCGGCCTGGCACGGTATCTTTTTGTTTGTCATCCTGAATCTCACTCCCATGATACGTTTTCTCCACCTTCCGTTTTATCGTTACACACCGTTTTCTCCGTGCTTCTCTGCTTCCCTGCTTCTTTGGCTATTGCCATATCATGTACTACAGTACTCCTTCACCGTTTCGGCCTTGCCTTCAGACCGGAGGAGCCGAGGATATGGTTGTAAGATCAAGGATCAAAAGTCACCACCAACTCTTGGCAATGAAAGCAGCGAAGTCCGACACGTAGGTCACGAATCAGCCCAATGCAGATTCGTGTCCGGTTCCGAAAATCCACGCCGATGGCTCTGATACGAGTTTCCGTCTCCCTGATGAGCTGGGTCAAGATCTCTGCGACTGAGCAGTCGCTCAACTTGCGACATTTTTGGACCAAGGTCCACGTTGAAAATAGTAACAACTTGAGCGCTCGAGCAATCTTTGTTTGTAAACGGAGCTCGTTCCCTTATTATTTCTCATCAGATCAATCATCCTTTCATCAGCTTCTCAATACTATCAAGGCTACTTCCAATCTGCCATTTCGGAAAGACTTGCACACGTATTTTCCCTATCAACCTTAGCATCCTACGGGACAATTATTCCAAATACCGCGGTTGACCTGTGCTGCGCAGTAGTATTGTTCTGTGGCTTCCTCGTTAGGGCTGACGAGATGTGTTAAGCTATCGCTAGGTGAATTCAGGACCTAGCTTCATACAAAGGGTCAAATGAGCAGACCTCTCCAAAAAAAGAAATCCGATCTCGAAGCAGCATAGATGGTCCGTTGGCAATAAAGTCACCGTCGTAGCTTGGATGGATATTAGGCTCGCCGGACGGTATTCTGATCGGTCGAACGAGACTCACAGACATTCCCATCAGTCTTTCAGGGGGGATAATTTCGTAAACAGCTCAATGTAGCTTGAGTCTTAAATGTCCGAGGTACGGCCTAAGGATCTGGTACTTGGTGGCGTTGTGTATGGGACTGGGGGAGCAAAGCGACTTGAACCGGATGTATCTTATGCGTATAGTCTGTTCTCAAAGTGCTTGTTGCCGTTTGTACTTGTTCAATTACAAGAAATTCCGGTGCGTGAGTTGCAGATTTTTTGGAGGGGAGCAATAAATGGATTCGAAAGCACTACAAAGGGAGATACAAGCGCCAAGTTCAGTGAAACAGCTGTGAGAACGACGAGTGCAGATATGGAATCAAAGGGGTTGCCGAGTTTGGAAGCCAAATTTTGTTGGAGCGAGACCATCTGTTTTCAGACCCTTGGTATCAAGACCAGTCGTGACCACCTTATAATCTACTTAAATGATGCTCCCAGAACATACAGTAGGGTGCAAATGCAGGTCCCGCAATCAACTGGCATCTCTCGGTTTTAGACTTTTAGCTCTCATGCATGCCGTCGTCATCATCCGAACGACATCTCAAGCTGCACGCCGTACCCCGACCCTCTCCGCATTCAGAGCGATGAAGTCGAGCGCAGTCTGTACAGCAGTCTGTACAGGGGAAATAATGCTCGCCTGCGCCCAAGAAAATTGACTTGGCACTGCTAGCTCCATATAGCGCATTCTTCGCGCGAAAGTCTGAGCGTTAGAGCAGTCATTTCTCCTGGCTTACCACCGGATGAAGAAAGAGGACTATATGCTATGACCAGCACGAATCGAGGTTATAAAGAGCTTTCAAATTTGGCATACCTAGGCAGGAAGATTAGCCCATGGCGATGCCCGTTGGCGGAGTATATTGTCGGTCTCGGCCGAGGGATCATCTAAGATGTCCCAGACTCCTGGCCTCGCCAACTCTACAACAGCAAAGCCAGCGGTCAAAGCACATCCTGGTCATGGCTAGTCGGAATTGGAAGCAATGATGAGATGATGAGGATGGTGGAGCAATCGGTGGATGCCAACTTGGTCGAGAGTCTGGGGATTAGCGTTATCCCTGTCAAGTGGTTTCAGGATTGTTTAGAGTGTTTGAAGTTGACTATCTACTTCTAGGGCCCTAGGCTGGCGATAGTGGCCTCGGAGGCACCTAAATCTAAGACCTAAGCAGTCAGCAGAAGGTCGGAGTTAAAGTTCGAACCCCACATACGAGTACCATATCTTGTATAGCACTCGCTGCTTTCCAACGACTTCTCAGCACCCATCCTCCACGAACACACTACTTCTGCCTTGCGTTTTTAGCGAATTTCATATCTCTCTGTTTCATCCAACAACAGAGCACCCTCGAATATTTCCTCACAGCCACCCCAACCTTCATCTCCCGGTTAGCCAGTCTCGTGTGCCTGGCTCGTGTCTGCCTTGAAGCCAGCGCAACCCAACCTGAACCTTACAGATTTGCCTACCACCCTACCAGCTACCGATAGCCATACAAATCGATTCTGAGGAGAAGGCATACACACCTCGCCCATCCTCAAGCGCTTTCGGTCCGAAACATTGCGCAAGATCGCCCGCACTTGCGCTCCAACAACAGACATGCGACAGGTTCCCTAGCTCAACCAGTATGTCTATGATAAATTGGGGCATTGGTGATCTCTTGGCCGTTACGAAGCTTGCTTGGGACCTCTATCACAACTGCTTCCTCGTTGCGCGCGAGGCGCCCGATGACTTCAGACAGCTGGTCAATGAGCTAGCTTCACTGCAAGCTTGTCTGCGCACACTACGGGACGATGTCAACTCCGACAAGTCCTTTCTGGACAGGCTGGGTGACAATAGAAAGCAGACATTGGAACGATGCTTGGCAAACTGCTTTGACACCCTGCGTCAACTGCAAAAGCTAGTGATCAAATACCGAGAGCTGGGCGTCGGAGATGGCTTGCAGTTCTGGAGGAAGCTGAAATGGGTGGGGAAACAAGGGGAGATCGCAGAGCTGAAGTCAAAGATTATGGTGCACACATGCAACATTAGTCTATGCATGAGCTCTATCGGGAAGTAAGTATTAACGTTCTAGCCTTCCTTTGTCCCATCTATAGACCTGCGCTAACAACCTTGACGCAGCTCTTCTCTTGCCAGGATAGAAACCTCGATGATAAAGGCACTCGAAAGACAAGAAGCTTCGACTTCCGCTCCCCAAGCCCAAAGTCAGGATAAGGAAGAAGAAGACGAGGTCGATGAACTCAGCCCTCTTCAAAAAGCTAAGACTGCCCCACAGGCTGGCCGCAATGGGTCTCCAGAGGTTGAGGGCCTGGGATTACAAGGTTTACGGCGCGCGTTCACTGGAGCGACACTGGTGGATAATATGTCGAGCGTATCGCCTGAGACGACACCTTCAACAACAAGCGAAGAAGAGATGTCAGAATTTGGATCGCCCAAAATGGCCAAAGAGGTTCCCATATTCAAGAAGACCCCTACCCAAATGGGTAAGATGAGAAAGGAGTCATCGGCGAGTATAGATCATGGCCTCAAAGCTTTTCCACCGAGCCCTAGGATTTCCGAGGATTACACCAGGGAGATACCGAGAAGTAGTCCTGCTGGTGACGACCTGAAGAAGCCTCGCTCGAAAAGACTAATGTCGACTAGCGGAGAATCGGTAATGAAGAGCAATGGAGTTGGCAGCAAAGCTCCTAACGTTGTTGACGTCGTAGCTGAAGCAATGCAAGAGTTGGCCAGAGTCCGGCAAAGAGAGCAGTCAGCAAGGCCATTACGAATCGTACGGCAAGACCCCGTGCATAGACCTCATGATGCTCTCAAAGAGCGGTTCCAAGAGCTTGCAGAGGACGAACTAAAGATTCGGAGGTTGAATGCGAGAGACTGGCTGAGAGTGGCCACTTGGTGGCTACTGAAGGCAAGGTTCAATACGAGAGTAGATGAGCGGTCCCAGTACACGAGTACACGCGGAAGCCTCAGCGTTTCCGGAATTTCTGGAGGAGGGAGATCAGCAATTAACCAAGCTTACGTTGACCTGCTGAAGGCATCATGGATACTTTACAACATAATATTGAAAGACGATAACGACAAGGCATCTTTAATGACAGACGAGAACAGGAAAATGTTTTACAACCTTTCAGATGGCATTAGCGAAGACCTGAGCGACTTTCAACCCGTTGACGCGCCAGAAAAGGATACACTCCTGTGCCAGAATTACAACATATGGGAGCTTCTTCAACCAGAAGAAGAGACGTATGATGAGGAGGACCTCCTACCCGGTCTGGAGAACGGTCGATGGATTACAGTCGAACAAGACGACGCAGGAGAAGAAGACGAACAAGTGCTCTTCCGAACGTTCGTCAATGCAGCCATTGGTGGGAAAAGATACAGGATGAGGTCAAAGGGTGCTCCTTACATGTTGCTTCTGTCCACCAAGGAAGGCGAAAGTGAACCGAAAGTCACCCTCTGCAATCAAAGCGGAACATTATGTCTGACACGCGACTTTACTATCGAAGACCTGCAAGACAAGGAGTTGCCTATGAGCCCTTTTGCAGGATCAGGCATAAGTCCCAGAGACGCCATACCGCTAAATTTTGGCCGGATGAACCTTACCGTGGCGTTTACCAATGAAGACGACCTCCAACAATTCATGTACATTCCGAGAGCCTACTTTGACGCTGTGAAAAGGAGAGAGCCTCGGCAATTCGAGAAAGCTACTGAGACTCTGCTGTTTAAGAGCTCTGTAGAAGTCTTTGAGCAGCTAAAAGCGTCGACGATGAAGCCGATGAGTCCTCGACAAGTCTTCCGCTCATGCGATCTTCGCGTCCTTGAGACGACCAGCAAGGAGGGATGGCGAATGACGAGAAGAGTAGTGATCAGCTCCTCTGCCGGCGAGCCAAGACCTTGGTGCACGGAGCTGTTCTTGCCTCTAAGTCGAGTCCAAATCCGAAGAGAAGGTTTAGCACGACAACTTACGGTGAAATGGTCCGATTGTACGCACGAAAAGGCCGACAAGACAGACGGCAACTACAATAAAATCTACACTTATGTCTACGATGACAGCAACCCGAACATCGCCCTACAACTCCTTTTCCGTAATTGCCAAGACGCCACCGACTTCGAGCAGACCGTCCTGCGCCTCTCCATTGCCCCTATTTTCTCCACCGCTGGTACCGATCCCCGCTTCGTCTATAACATTTCCGACACCGAACCGAATCCAAAGAATTACAAAGCCCTTCTTTTAACCCACACTCGCTTCGATTGGCGATATAGCGAGCTCTTTTATACGTACCGAGACACAGACTATCAATTCGACCGCTCAGCCCTCCGCGTCCGCCTGCCTCAAGTCTACTACACAGACTATGTCTCCAGCTTCGTCGACAAGCTCTACAAACCCCCTCCTGGTGAGCCGCCCCGCTTTTCCCACTGCGAAAAACGCGTCGGCAACACCCCTCTCGACTTTGACGACGAAGCAGTAAGCTTCGGCTTCATGTCCGCCCTCACCGGCAATCACGAACTCATCTTCTCTCGCCGCGCCCATTACATCACCACCAAGCCGCCCAAGAAGTTCGGCGGCACCAAATCAAACAAAGGAACCGCCGAAGTACAACTCTGGCTCAAAGGCAATACTGTGCGTCTTGTCAGCCGGTGGGAAGACAAGGTCGAGGATAAGTGGATCAGCATGCAAGTACCGAGGGATGGTCTGACACATTCGAAGGACACGAACCGTGCTAGTTTTCCGAAGACCGAGTATGATCGGGGCAGAAAGGTTGACATGGCGAATCTTGTGGCAAGGGATAGTAGAGAGAAGGAGGCGGGAAAGAAGGTGGGGCCTGTTACTATTGCTTTTGAAAGCGTAAGAGGTACGTGAACGCGTCTCGTTCCCGCTCGATGACGAGCTAGGAACGCCCAGCTGACCTTGGCTTTGGCAGACCGAGAGGAATTTGCAGCGGCGCTGGAAGGAAAAGCACCGCCTCCCACTAACCAACGAAGTGCATTTGACGATTTGATGGACATGTAGTGCTCTTTTATCTGTTTCCACTGTTCTTTTTCGGAAAAGCCGCTTCAAGTATATCTATTCCCATTTGATTTTTGTGGTGATTTGTGGTTTGATATTTACCTCGCAAGATACCTATTCTAGCCGAAGCGTTGTGTCCTGCATTGTCTTTTCTCGTTTCTAATATCTATCTGGCGTCTTGAGGAATGCTGAAAAAGCACGTCTATAGTATGAGTGAATCTGTCTATAGTCAAACCAAAGTCGACTTTTTAGGTATCCTTGATTAAGCTTCCATCGTCCATTTGACCCTCTCTCTTACCTCCCTCTGCCCTCCATGTCTCAACAAGCCCTTCTTTAGGATCTTCGTCCGGCAGCCCGCGCTCCTTCCTCACCCTCAGGACTGCACCACGGACTTGCATCGTACATTCCTCCCTCAGCCTCATGGCCTCGGGACCATACTTTAACTCCTCGCTCAAGACTCCCACTTCCAGCTCTTGATCAGGCTTTCTCGTCCGCCTCTCATCCTCCACTAACCTCCGCCACCTCTCCCTCAGTTCATGAAACACATTCCCCTCGCTCTCCCCTCCGACATTCTCCCCAAACCACACCCCGCATCTTTTCCCAGCCCTTGGCAGCCACCGCGGCGCGGCTCGGTTCTCATGCATGATTTCATCATTACCCTCAACCCACATGGGTACTATATCAGGACAAACATCCGGCTCGAGTATCAGGCGCGCGACGCCCCACTTGAAATACCGCATCGCCTTCTGCGGGTGCTGATGCACGCGGCCTTCGGGAAAGATGTGGATCCAGCTGTACTGCCGCGTTGCGTATGCAGAGGGCGCAGGGAAGGTATCGATACCGTCGGTTGTGTAGGTGAAGTGGTGGTTGGGGGAAGAAAAAGGGTCTGAGATATCCGGCGAATTAAACGAGCGGTCGACTGGTAGGGCGGAGCTTGTAGGGGAGAAAGGAGGACGGGAGAGCAGGCGGACGGCTTCGCGGAGGGTGGGTTGGAAGGGCCCGCCGTGCGGATCTTTGTGGAGGCGGTGCGTGGGGAGGACTTGGCCGAGGACGAAGAAGGTGGACATTGCTCTATGGTTGGAGTTTTGTTAGATTTGTTGCGAGGGATTATAGACAGGAGGGGGGGGGCGGACTTGTTCTTGAAGACGATGTCGTAGCTGCCGAGGGACCAGCGGTGATTGCTGGGGTTGAAATGGTAGCGGAGGGGCAGGACACCCCATATTAGAGGGTCGTCAACGCTGGAAAATGGCATTCATGAGCTGGTGGAGGGGTGGGGCATGGTGTTTTGATTTCGTGATACGTACGTACACGCAGATGTGGTTCGATACTGAGAAGCATTAGTCAGTATCAAGGCCACATCAACGACTCGTTGCGGCATACCGGTGATGAGGCCTCTCTTTCTGCCATCCACATTTGCTCTCTTATCCAACAGTTCCAGAAATCCGTCGAGCCCATGGGCGTCTTGCCAATTAGGCCCGTGCATGAATGCCCGTGTTAGGGTTCCTACGAAGCCCATGATCGCTGCGGAGCCTGAACGCCATAGCAGGCTGGGTGGCGGAGGGTCGTCCGCCATCAGACGATCAATGAAAGAGCGTAAAAAGGCAGATGCTTGTTGTTTGTTTTTTTCGAAAGTCAAATTCCGCATTCTCGAATTTTGCCGGCGCTTAGAAATTTAGGCGCGGGTACCTGCTTTCAACAATCGAATGGCTATTGGGGACAATTTTGTGCAAAATTACGCTCTTCCAGGTTCAATCTCCGTACCAAACATATCTTATCAAGTCTCTCGGCTGTAGAGTTGATCTCCGGATCCAACGGTGGTATTTGATTCAGCATGAGGGGATAATCCAATGCACCTAACGTAGTAACTCCAATCTCCAAAACTTCGGCTTCCCAGGCCATACTAAACAGCCTTCTCTGCACGGAGATGTCTCATAGTAAGTCAGCTATCTCAGTGCTTGATGATAGATACTTAGTTCAGCTCCAGGCAAACGAAACACTTCTCTCGCCTTCTTCACTTCCCATGAACGATCACTTCTCAAGTCGACCTGGGGATCTCAAGCCACTCGTCTCTCCCGAGACTCCTTCCTACCCTTTGCTTCGTGCCAGCTCTGCCTCCGAATCGCCCGAGATCCTGTAGCATGCGCCTCGAACGGTGACATTTTCTGCAGGGAGTGTGCCGTCAGCAATCTGCTTGCGCAGGGGAAGGAGATCAAACGGTTGAAGAAGGAAGGTGAGCGACGGCAAAGGGAGGTAGAGGAGGAAGAGTTGGATCGAGGAGCGGAGGAGGAGGAAAGGGCAATTGCGCAGTTTGAAAAGACTATGATGGGTTTGGAGGGTGGTGGGAAGAAGGGGAAGAGTAATGCGTCTGAAGAGATGGAGCGGAGTGAGGGCAGAGGTGTGAAACGGAAGTTCGAGCTCGATGAGGACGAGATGTTGAAGAATGCGAAGGAGGAGAGAGCGAAGGCGAGGAAGGCACTTGATGAAGAGAAGGTACGAGATAGGTGGTATATGTCTTACATTGGTGTGCACGGCCAGCTGACTGTCCTAGTCCGCTAAGCCAACGCTTCCCTCATTCTGGGTACCATCTCTCACGCCGTCAACAAACCATTCGCAAGCAAGCAAAGCTGCGAAGCTATCGCCTCTCTGTCCAGCCTCGTCTACTGAGAATAAACACTCCCTGTCGCTCAAATCCATAATCACGATCAACTTCAAGACCATCCCGAATGCTTCCTCGCCAACAGAACCACCAACATGCATATGTCCGGCATGCGAAAAGAATCTCACTAATACCATCAAAGCAATCCTTACTATACCGTGTGGCCACGTTCTCTGTAAACCCTGCGCTGCGAAGTTCATGTCACCCGATGAGGGCCCCCCAGATCCTCACGCTTCTCCTACCAAACAAGAGGCGAAGAACCGGGTGGTATGCTATGTCTGTGAGACTGATCTTTCGGGTAAGAAAATCACGGCGAAGGACGGAGAAGATGGAGCCAGAGCAGAAAAAGGGGCAGTGAAGTCAGGAACGGTGGAACTGAGAAGTGAGGGAACAGGCTTTGCGGGTGGAGGAGATAACATGGTACAGAGAAAGGGTGTGGCATTTCAATGCTAACAGTGTTGGAACAGTCTGATAATGAAAAATAAATATGGATAACCCCAGCTGCCATTTTTCGCATGCTGGCAATTCTCCAGCGGATGCACAAAAGAGTTGGAAAAAGCTTGTTTGGATTGAGTCTATCTCAATCTATATGGACTTGGTGATGGTAGATCGATAGCCTTTTCTCCTTCCTGCTTCCATCGTCCAAGTGAGACCTGAGAGGGATACAGTGGGATGACAAATGTTCGAAGTGATGCGAAAGCACCAGTGAGATAGTGGTTCAGCTGCAGACTGTCGGAAGGAGACCAAGGAGCTGGTGGAGCAGAGTAGCGGATGGCGGATGAAGGGCGGACCTGAAGCCAGTAGCTTTGCAGGGCTGACGTCGAGAGCCGTGATGGTGCTGTCGCAGTAGGCGGAAATTGACAGGAATCGAGTGATTCTGAGACGCTCGGAAAAGACGATGAGCTTGGGTGAGATGCTGGAGCATGGTGGAATGCTCGACATTGGTTGCAATTGATAGGAGTTTGAAGCACGAGTTAGCCCATGGAAACTCAAAGAGACCGCGGGAAGAGCTTACCAGACCGAAACCGAACAACTCGCTCGAAGCCAAAGCCCGAAAGCTCGGCTGGTTGGAGTACAACATGATGGGTGTTGTAACATCCCGGACCGGACTTAGTTTCACCCTCCTTGCAAGGAGAGCTACTTATCCCCAACACCGCGAAAAGGTGCCAGTCCGTTGCTGGAGGGGCGCTCCCATGGTCAGCGCCTCCCGCCTGTGCCCTTGGTACTTGACGCTAGGGATGGCTGGACATTTGTATTCAGTGAGTCGATCGTGGTGACGCGGACGATCGCTCGGTGACCCTCCGGACGGTAGGCCTGCCTTAGCGAGGCTCCGCATGGGATTCGAGGTGATGTTTGGTGAGTGACTGTGGTGGCTCGGACAAGTCACTCTTGCCCTCCAGTCGGTCGGCCTGCCTTAGCGAGGCTCCGCAGTGGATTCGAGGTGGTTTTTTTGTCGAGTAGCTGTTGGGGTTATGCGGCAGCCGCTCGGTTCCCTCCGGTCGGTAGGCCTTGCCTTAGCGAAGGGTCCGGATCCGGATTCGAGGTTTTCTGTGGTGGTGAATGATTGTGGGGAAGACGGCAATCATTCGATGCAATCAAGTTCGTCCATGTCCTCTGCGACAGGAGCAGGGATCGCCTCACGGTTTTTTTTCTTGAGGTACTTGATTCTTGCTATTTGTTCTCTGTGAACGCAGCGCCTGTGGCACTGTGGTGACGGACGCGAGCAGATGCATGCGGTCTCGTCGTCTCCAACCCCGATGAACTTGTTCGTTCGGATCGCTTGTGGTATGGTTGGGACTCGTAGGTTTTTGACGAGGTGGTAGTTTCTACCGGGGCACCGTTTCTTGCGATGTTCCTCCTCATCGTTGTGGAACCAGACGCCGCTTGCTTTTCGGCCTTGGTCCCATGTGCGGGCTATGCCAGTGACATACTCCCAAATGATCTTGTGGTTGATGTGGTTCGCTGACAGTTCGGTAGACCAGCACCTCCACACAAAATCTAGCTCTTCGGCATAATCTGGCCGGTATTGGACATTGCGCCAGTCGATACCGTAGTTGTTCATGGTCTCGGACAGCTCGAGAGCTGCTGGTTCGACGACTGTTGGCCATACTTCTCCGCCTTCCCAGTTACGGGTCAAGCGCGCAGTATGCCTCGCTTTGAGGGCAAAGTCCTGGAGAAGCAAGCACATGTTTTCTCTGTGCCGCTCCGTGGTGATGTTGAAGTGTGCATACATGTCTTGCTTGACAGGCCAGTTGGTCGGCCAGGGGCGCTTTTCGACTTTAGACGATGCTGCTTTGGGGGTGGTGGAGGTAGTATGACCACTACCTTGGCTGATTTGCAAATTCTTGATACGTGCAATCAGTTCAATGGGATCTATGCCCTCATTGTTGTTGGTTTTCATGGTGATATCCGCAATTTTGCCTTCAATCACGCCCTGTTTCCTCGGGCTGATCCTCTCCATGATGATGTTTTCCTGATGATAATTTTGCGAAGAACAGTCACGTATCAATGTCGTACGACCTTGAATGTAAGCAGTTCAACCGGGTAAGATTTTGATATCTCACTGCTTCTACACTGTGTGTGAAAGCTATCAGTCTCATGCACAGAGTTGTTGGATGGAGAAGAAATTCTTCGTCCTACGAAGGGGTCTTATATCTTAGCCGTGAGTCACTCGCTACCAAGACAATGGTGAACGTACGGCATTCTCCCTCACCATGGCAGGCTCTTAGAAGTCACTGGAGGGTAAGAAATCTTTCATCTCACGCCACAGATTGCTCTCATATCGGCCCTTGGCATGCTTTGACTCACTTAAATTGCTCGCTTTCCTCTCATCCGGGAGTTCTAGGCTGTTATTTTCAGGTTTGAGGCCTTGCCAAGGAGTTGTGTTACCGTCTCGAGTGTTCGATGTCCTTGGCATCATGTCAAAATGTGCTCAAAACGTCCTTGCGTGGCATTGTCAAACTCCGACAGAGCTTCACGTGATTCTCATATGTGCGTCTTATGAGAAGGTACTCATGGTCATGCTGCACTTCATGGAGACACTGATGTGTTTATGTGACTTCTTCCAATGCAATTCTCAGTTCGAGGCTGGCTAAGGCGGCGTGTCGAGATATGGCTCAATTCTTGGCGTTCCCCCTTTCTTCAATCCAAGGTACTGAGCACATCAGCAGTGATCAAAATTTCTCTTAATTACTTTGCTGCCTGCTCTCTACCCATCTACGAAGGCTGGCAACGGATCACCTGTCGTGGTGGCTACAACCCTCGAGTTCCTGCCTTCGAGTCTGTCGCCTGTTTAGTGGCGTTGGGTTACTCGTGCTGTTGGGCGTAAATATGTCGGCGTGGCGGTTTGGGTTTTTATTGGGTGTGATCGGATCTGTCCACGGTTAGGAAATGGTAATACGCGGATGGGGTTAGTCCCCTATTGTTTATTACGGCCTTCGTATACCCCCATATATCTTCCTAATATTAGCCGCCCTCGTGTGTTTAATTGTATAGGTTTTTAAATCTAATTATTTTAATACCTTTGGGGTTTGTTTGTTCTTTGCAGTTTCCGTTATGTTATGTTGTGTGTTTAGGTTGGTGTATGGTTTGCGGCGACCCCCTACCCATCTACGAAACCTGGGCGCCAGGATGAGATTTAAAGCCTGAAGTTTTCTTGGAAGTAGTCAAAAGGACCGTATCTGCTTCGAGCTAGAAAACATACTAGGAGTCCAGTCCCTGTAGTCTAAATGCCTTCCTTCAGTGCTGTGCAAGCACAGCTCTGATTTATATCCTACGCCAAGAGCCTTGACATGAACTCATGTGAATGTTCATATCTTTGCTCTATTGCTCTCACAAACCCTCAATGAACCTGTCCCTTCCACGGCGACATCACACAATGTCTCCTTTCTGTGGTATCTATGCATACTCACGTATCCCGTTCTTTCGAAGATGTGGGCCGCCAATCTAATGGCCGATTCAGAATGGATTGATGCCATCAATGTGTCATGGCGTGTACGGTACCCCTTTCTGTCTGGCTGATTTGCATATACCCTTAGCATGAAATCAGGTCATGGCTTGGCTTTTTCGCCTCAACGTTCATTTTGTTGACGGTGGCAGCGTCGTCCATACCACTCAGTCCCTACATGGCGCTGAACCCGCTCATGCTGCTTTGGTGATCTCGTGGGTAGTAGTCACGTTTCAAGTTCCATCCTCCTCGAATGCAGGCTGTTCTATTAGGCAATATGTCGACATCTCAATTTCATCCGGAGTGCGATGCATCCCACACCTCCATCCCTTCCCCTCCCCTTCCCTTCCATTCGTACAATCAAGCGGACCCTTTCGCCATATTGTAGCTGCAAGCAGTACCGCTCTCCATATTCAACGTCTAAGGTCGATCTCCGATCCACGAATCCAGTAGATCCCGGGGAGCATCCCGGACGAGGACGTGCACATGCTCCAAACCCCGAACGCTTTGCAGCCCGGTCCAATTTCTGAACCAGAGCACTCGACCATGCTGACGGTCAGAGTCCCCAGCGACATCCTCCTTTGATCGTTGAGAGCTCAGAGGTTCGACGAAAGTCCTCTGCACGAATCGTTCAACCAAGGCAGCCGATTCCGGTCTCAGGTAGCCTTCCGGCTTCTGCTCCGCTATGCGGACCTTAGACCAGATAACGATATGCGTGACGTCGGAAGTAAACCCATAGGGCCAATCATTTAGCAGGATTTTGTAGTCGTTGGGGTCAGTAAATGGGACGGTATTGTTGCACTGAAACGATGGACTCTCTCCATTCACCAAGGGTAGAGCCTTCCAATATAGTCGCTCGCTAAGTATGAATGCAGTGATAGAACCGTACGTATTCTTTGTCTGGTTCGTCCATTTAATATAGCGGCGTAGGTGTGAGGGTTTCCGCTTCAGTATTGCGAGGTTGTTGGTCGCTGCGACAGGGTGAAGAATTGGGAATCAGACAGGCTCACTCGAGGAAGATACATGTATACTACCTATGATATCTATGAGATCGTCCCAGTCGTGTGGCTTGAAATTCTCATCTCCTCCTGCCAGGTTCTCTCGATCGGTTGGTGTGAGCCCGGGGAATGAGCCAAGCTCAACATCGTCTGCCATCTTTCAGATTGGCGGATGGTGGTATCCCTCAAAGTATTCTAGAACAAGCAAAAAGCAAAGGGACCGATTGTATGCGAAGAGATAGATGATCTCGTGACTGTCTCATTGACTGCATTTAGCCGAGGGCGGGTAGACCTGCGTCTCAACAATTGTATCACGCTCCACTTTCAAATCACATTCACCACGTCACGCAGCCCCAATCCCTTCATATTTACCATCTCTTCCTTATCACAAACATGGAGTTACGGTCCTAGAAGCCAGAGTCTACCTTTCCCACCTAAGACGCCTGCGGACCGTCCAATTCCTCCTCCTCCTCCAATCCCTACGCCCACAAAGCACACAACCCCCACGATCCCCTCAAGCCACCTCTCTACAATTCCCTCCGCAGCAATGCACACAATACTCATGGTCCTCCTCCGCCTCCTCGCCTTCTACCTCGGCCTCACAACCACCTTCTTCACCCTCTCCTACTTCTCCGTCCCCACAGCATCCTTCTACGCTCGCCTCCTCGCCTCCTACGGCTGCTTACTCCTCTGCGCTACCTACGGCGTCTTCGCCTCCGTCGCCCTGCGTCTATTCGGCAAGCACCGAATCAGCCAATGGACCGTCGCGCGCGCGTTCAGCTACACCATGGCGCTGACCACGGGCATCCATTTCGAAATCGTCTCCGGGGCGGAGTACCTGAACACGAGACCGTGCGTGCTGATCGGGAACCACCAGTCCGAACTCGACGTCCTCCTCCTCGGCGCCATCTTTCCCCCATACTGCAGCGTGACGGCCAAGCGCTCCCTCCGCCTCGTGCCCTTGCTCGGCTGGTTCATGGCGCTCTCCGGCACCGTGTTCATCGATCGCTCCAACTCCGCCTCCGCGCACGCGGCGTTCGATAAAGCGGCCGCGGAGATGCGGAAGGAGAGGCAGAGCGTTTTCATCTTCCCGGAGGGCACGAGGAGTTATGCCGAGGGGCCGGAGATGGGGGCGTTCAAGAAGGGCGCGTTTCATTTGGCGGTGAAAGCCGGGGTGGATATCGTACCGGTTGTGGCGGGGAATTATTGGGGCGTGCTGAGTGTGAAGGAGCAGAGATTTAGGAGTGGGAGAATACCGGTCAAGGGTGAGTTGGGCGCCGTCTACTACCTACGATTTTACTTTGTGCGCTTCGAGGACCCAACGGAGGAGGTTTGCTGATCTGGCTGTGATAGTACTACCGCCGATACCAACAGCCCACCTCACAGCGGCCGATGTTGAAGAATTGACACGGACGACGCGGGAGAAAATGCTGAAAGAGCTCGTGGCGTTGACCGAGAGTCCGATGGGCCAGAAAGCTACAAAGGCTCATGTCGAAGCGGGAGAGGAAGATCTCGCAAGACTGGCGACACCAACTGCGATGGCTAGTGGTCTTGAGCGGTAGCTGGGCGAACCTGCAAAGATGAGAAGGGGAGTAATGAGGAGGTGAAGCGAGAAGAGCAGACCAGAGGTCGTGAAATCACGAAATCTGTGTGCTTGTATAGGCCCGTGAGATTTGGGTAGAATATGAGGCTGTGGATGTCGGACGTATCGCAGCGGTATGGGAAGACGAGCCAGGAGACGGGAATACCCCTCTCCGCTGGACTGGAGAAAACGCCGGCTCCCCCGTGTGGATGATAAGATTGGAGGGCGGAAGCCTCGAATCCTTTGCTCCGCTCAAGCATGGTAGCTGGAAGGCCAAGGGGGGAAAAGCGGACAATTCCCCGTTGACTTAGAAAGCTGAAGACAAGATACCCAGCGGGAACACGAAATTGTTTATTCTTTTTCGCTTCTGTTCCATCAAAGATTGGATCGTGAGTCTGCTCGAACTTGATCGAGTATTGCATGAGTAGTGTCTTGCACTATGGTACAACCCCAAACGCTCATTACCCAACGCCACGCTTCATGCGGTCAGCTATCTCACATGTCTTCGGTCGCCCATGCTATTAGGGGAAGGCACTTCTACGCCCTTTATTCACGAATGCAACGCCACCCTGATGCATGTCCTGCTCTCTGCCCAAAATCATCGATCATATCTCTCAGCTGCGTCGTTACGATCACATATCCTCGTCGTCATCGTCATCTTCCATCTGCTCCATCGCTTCTTTGATGTAATGTGAAGCCTAGAACGAGGTTAGTGACCATCTCCCACAAGTCCTAAAAATAAAGACTCACCTTTGGGTCCAAATTCAATGCCATAGTGAAATGCCTGATTGCACTTCCCTTCTGCCTCAGCTGCTTGTAAGCCCTACCTAGCAAGAAATGCACGTTGGCCTCATCCGGCGCAATGTCCTTCAGAACCCGCAACTCCACCAGCGCCCGCTCAGGCTCCTGCAACGTCATCAGTACCCTTGCCTTCTTGAACCGACATAGAGCACTCTTCTCTGACAGCTCGCATGCTCGGGTATACTGTATCAGTGCGGCTTTGGGATTCTTCAACTTCTCGAGTACCAGGCCGATGCAGCAGACGAGAACGGCGTTGGTGGGGTTGATTGAAGCTGCGGTGCGGTAGTGTTGTTCCGCAAAGGCGTATTTGCCTTGCTTCTCGAAGACTTTACCCAGACCGTACCAGGCGTTGTAGTGGCGGTTTTCGGCAGCGATGGAGGAGCGGTAGGCGGAGAGTGCTTTGTCGTATTCTTCATTCGCCACATGCTCATGACCTTGGAGAGTGAAGGCGTAAGCGAATTTGGGATCAAGTTGGGTGGCGCGTTTGAAGCACTTGAGAGCCTGGTCATGATCGCGTTGGAGTGAGAAGCTGTTGCCAACCGCACACCAGGCTTGGGGAGAGTTGCGGTCGATGTCGATGATTTCGTGGGCAAGAAAGGCGAGGTCAATGTCATTTTTGAGATGCCAGAGGGTAGTGGAGTATACCTCCATGTCTTCGAGGCGGGATGGAGCCATGGCTTTAATTCGGGTAAATGTCTTTTCGGCTTCCGAGTAGGATGCTTGCTCATAATAAGCGCGGCCAATCTGAGCGAGCACCCAGGGGGTGTCTCTCTGGCTTGGAGAAATCGAATTGAAGCATCGTAGTGCATCCTGGCACTGGTAATGGCTAAGAGCGAAGTAGCCGCTTCCAAGCTTCATGAACAGGTCCAGAAGCTGTTGGAGGCCTTCGAACTCCTTCACCTTCTCATTCACTATAGGCTTCTGCGCGGCGGCAGGGACTCCAGAATGTGCAATGGGCCGCTGCTCCTTGCCGTCAATGTCCATCGGGTCGCCATGTTTTCGGTTTCCGCTGACAACACGCCCAACATTGAAGGTGTTCGCGCTTCTGCCTTTCGTGCCGGTTGCCTTCGCCTTCTTGAGCTCCCTGCCTTCTTTCGCGCCGATGCTGCCCGTAGAAGCCGCAAATCTGCCGCTTTGCGTTCTCATATGATTAAAAAGCCGTTGGCTTCGTCTCTGAGGTGCTCCTGGATCATTGGATGTGTCAGCTTCCGGCCGGGAACCGGCTGCTGTTGCTTGCGGAGCCTTGCCCGAAACTGTCCTTTTCAAATCACCAGCACCGTAGCTCGTTGTCGATGATCTGCTCATTGTAGCATTGTCTTGATCTCCAGAATCGCCCTTACTCCTCGACTTCGATCTTACTGTCGAACTCGAACGCATCTTTGGAGGGGCATCAATGCTGAAATCCATACCGAGCCCAGGCAAAGTCCGCTCTTTTCTGGGTGGTGCCAATGGTGGCTCAGTCGATATCGGAGCAGCTGCAGCACGACCACCGATCTCTTTCCCCAAGAATATTGATTCTTCCACGCCTCCGGTTGGACCCGTAGGAGTGTCAAATATCTGGGGATCTGGACGGATGATTGGCTCTATTGGCGTCACATTATTCTTTTTGCTATTGAACTTTTCGAACAACGCCAAGCTACCAGCGTTGTTGCGAACGTCCCCATTTATACGATTCTTGGATATGCTGAACGGATCGTTGCTTGAAGGTGGTTGGTTGGCGGTATTTACATTGACTTGTGATTGTGAAAGAGCATTTGAAGGCGGAGACTCGTCGAGTACTCCTAAAGGTGTCTCTTCGTTCGTCGAGCTCGACAATATACTCATCATCTCTGGAGTCATCTTGAAGATATTCGGCATCCGGATGTTGACTCCTTCATTGGGTCAGCAATACTTCCGCATCCCTCCTCGGAGCCACGTACCTAAAACGCAAAGCCCAAGGAACGCATCCCACATGAAGGGATTCAGCTTCAATGCCTCGGCGTAGCATTCTATAGCTTTATTCGCATCACAATGGGCTTGCCATAATTTGCCTTGCAGACACAAAATTGCCGCCGCATCTGGTAAATGTTGTCTTCGTGTGTCTGTGTGTTTGCCTGTGGCGTTCAAAGGTCAGCACCTGCCCCCTACGTTCGAACGGGCCTTCCCCATAGACGTACCCCAGCTGTTCCTGGCTGACCACAATCCTTTACTCCGGTCTATAGCTGTCACACCTTCCACGTATCTCTCCAAGCCCAAGCATGCTTGCGCAAAGACGTAGGAGCATCCCAGATGTGTCCCTCTCGACCCAGAGTTCCTACTGCTATCGTATGCCGCCTTCAGTTGTCCCAGCCGTAGATGGCATAGTGCTAGCAGGTATGCAGCTTCTGAGGACCTCGGCTCGTATGCATGCAGTCGGCCTGCGAGGAAGAGAGCGTTTCGTAGGAGGTTGCAGTCTAAGTGATAATAGATAAGCTGTCGCAGTTGGCTGATCATATAAGGGTTCGGGGGAGGCATCTTGTAGGAGGTCATATAGTTAGAGTTCTTGTGAGGAGTCGAAGAGGGTGTCGCCAGTCTTTGGTGGGATCGAAGTGATGTTCGTAATAAGTGTTAAGGTGGATGGTAGGCCTCCAGGGCGGCCTTTCAACTGAGGGTATCCTAGGAATAGTGTAGGATTGCTGCGGACCACCTATACCGTCATGCGAAGACTTCCATATCCAAGAGGGCGTAACTGCTGTCTGGATTGTCGAAGGAGGGACCTTCCGTTCGAGGTACTGATCTGGTAGCAGGAAATGGCTTTGTTACTGAGAATTATACGCTGTGTCTGTTCAACACCAAAAGCACTGACACGGCAAACCCGAAGACTCGAAGTAAATATGCTTTAGAGGCGAAGAGCATTCTTGGCTAGCTATATCTTGTTTCTGGCGTTGTGAAGCTGTTCATTTGCGATGAGCATTTACAAGAACGTGATGTTTTGACGGCCTGCAGGCGCTAAATGTCAGCCCTACGGCGAAAAGTTGCTACCGACAACCAACCACGGTTGACACTATATCTATCATTGCTAATTCATCAGTGACACTTCTCGACAATGGCACAGGTACGATCTGACTTACTGTAATTGAGTGCGGGTACCATGCTGACACATCCACCAGAAAGCAGCGAAGCAGCTCGCCGCGCGCAACACCACCAAGCTCAACCAAACACATCTAATCTCCCTGGGAAACAACGTCTTCTTCCTCCTGATGCGCCTACTTGTCTACCGCTCCACCTATACACGTAATACACTCCTCCTCTGGATTCTCCTCTCACTTCCCGCTTGGGTCGTCGAATTCTGGCTTGAGCAGATAGGGCGCCCCACATACGCCGAGAATGGGGAGCTGAAGAAATCCGGAGAAGATCTCGAGGCGAAAGGATTGACAGATTTCATGTGGGATTTGATATATTGGACATGGGCATGTATCACAGCTGCGGCAATGGTTGGGAATAAGGCTTGGTGGATGTACGCTGTGGTGCCGGTCTATTCGGTGTGGGTCGCTTCGACTACGGTGATGGGATTGAGGAAGGGTATGGCGGGAATGGCTGGACAAGGTGATGATAGTGCACAAGCAGCAGACGCTGGTGGAGATAGCAAGAGGCAGAAAAAGCTGGAGAAGAGGGGAGCTCAGAAGGTGCAATATCGATGATGCATTTCTCTACATCAAGAGTTGCCAGTTGATGGCCACTCTATATGTGATATACTGTGATTTGTGCGACTAGCTGCTCGATTCGATACCCCTCGTTGGTTATGGCATGAGAGTAAGGCTTCTTGAAGAAATGAAGCTCGTGCGGGCTTGGCCAGCGCCAACGCAGCAAGGGAGCATGCAGGTCTATGCGCTTCCCCCACCCAAACGCCTCAAAGACATACAACAGCAGGTTTGAAACTGGGTATATATCGCCGGGCGGGACTGGAGACCGGCAAAGGGTATCAAAAGCAGAAGACTTGATCGCCCAACTTGCTGACGGGCCTTGGCTTCTCGTAGCCTAATGAGTCGGTTGCTTTCTTCATGGCACTGATCATTGGTGGAGGTCCGCAGAGGAGGAGCTTCATATCAGGGCTTGGAGGAGGCAGTTTAGCCTATGCTCTGTCAGCTAATTGCAGGTACATAGTCTGCCGTATTTGAGCCCTACCTTAATCATGTCTGGCGTGCAGAATCCGACACCGCCATCCCATTCTTCCGGAGGACTGTTAAGGACGTAATATACCCTGAAATGAGGATCCTCCTTTGCCAGAGCATCCAGGTCCTCTTTCAACAGAATATCTTCGTAGTTGACGTTTGCAAAAATGAGGTCAACCTCTGTAGTGTCGCTTCCCCCATTCCTGGGTCTCCCCCTAACAATAGCTCTGATTATCTGCAGCATCGGCGTGATCCCAGTCCCACCAGCGATCATGCCGAAATGCTTGACCAGTCCTGGTGCGTATACCATAGCACCCTTGGGGCCCCTGACCTTCATGGTGTCTCCAATGTTGAGAGTTCCCATGTGTTTCGAAATGTTTCCCTGGGGGTATGATTTTATAAGGAGGTCAAAGTAGCCGAGATTCTCGTCGGAGGAGATAGGTGTGTAGGAGCGTATGACTTCTTTAGATTGGCCATTCACATCAAGGGTAGCTGCAACGGACATGTGTTGGCCAATCGGGAGACCAAGGATTTGTGTAGGAGTTGGAAGGCTGAATCGGTAGCTGCGAAGCGTCAACAGATGTCCCGCATGGTGCACAGAGTAAGGATATTACATTGCCACGTTGTGCGAGAGTACTGTCTTCTCCTTCAGAGGAAAATCCTGAAAAACATCTGGCTTGAGTGCGTTCGTGGCCATCATTTTCTCGGGCATGGGGGCCAGCTCTGGGGCTTTGATATGAGTCAACGTTAGCCCTCTCTCTCTCTCTCTCTCTCTCTCTCTCTCTCTTTCTCTCAATGATCCCGTAACGAGAAGGCATAGCTAACCGGCACTGTATATCTTCCATGCTCCTAGTACCAGCGACACAGCTATTGCAAAAGGAAGCCACTCAAATTTGACAATGCCCACACCGAGTATCAGCAGGCTAGAGGGTATGTAGACGCCATTAATGAATTGCGAGGAGAGGAGAGAGGATTGCTGAGTCTGAGACATAGCTGACGAATATGAACCTTGAGTCCAATATCCAACAATCCTGATTGAGGGGAAGCGCCCGCTGTGAACAATCAAAAAATGAAGAGGAATTGTCGAGATCTCTGCATTAAGGTCCATTTTGATGAATTAATCCGGACTCCGGCGTTAGTCCTATCGTAGCATCCCAGGTCAACACTTCCTGTTAGCTATCCATAAGGGTTCCAGATTAAACCCTCGAAAGGAGCTTTGGGGTTGGGAGGAAGCTTATGAAGATTTGGGAGTCCTTGCGCAGTTTAGGTTAATTAAGCCATGAACAACCTTTCGGTCATTAAATACAATCAGGGTCTATGTCGTCCACCGAATATACAACGCCAGTCATCCCCCACAAAACATTGAAGACGCACATAAAGGTTCTTTTAAACAAGCCAATGTACAGCTGTGCAAAATGTGTACTCCTCCAACCAAAATCAGCCTTTCAGATATGTGAATGCCTGCTCCCGTTCCTCGATAGGCATCGTGTCCAAGAACTGTTTAAGTCCTTTCATGCCACCGTCCTTGTTGGCACTGAGAAGGGCTCCAATATCGGACGCCACGCTCTCCGACTTCAGCCCGTCCAGCTTGGTCTGCACACCTTTGCGGTTCTCCTCGTACCATGTCGCCACTGCCCGATCATTGTGCTCAAAATCTTGAATACCAGTCCAGGCGCGCAGGGTCCGCAGGCTGCTCGCTCGGGCCTTTGGATCACGAGTCGAAGCTTGTGCCATCTTCTTGATTAGAGACTCTTCGTTAAGACGACGACGAAGGCGCCAGTAGAAGAATTGACGCGCGTTCTTCCATTGAAGTGGATGACGAATTGTGTTCTTGGCCTGCATTCTGCCTGCACGGTCGTGGAGATCGGCGAACTGGAGAGAGATCTGCGAGTAAACGGGCAACAGTAATTGCTCACGCTCCTGCATCTTGACCTTGATATCACTCTGCTTGTCTGAGGAGAGGGATTTGTCCAATAACTGTGCTTTGAGTTCCGCGTAGGTGGCATCAAGACGAGCCATCGTTTCGAGCTGCCTGTCGCGGCGGAACTTGATATTCACAATACCCTCGGGTTCCAAAACACCGCCGCGGGCATCTTCATCTGCGTACATCTCCATGTGATCTGGGTTAATAGTAGGATCAACCACAACCTAAGCGTGATGTTAGCACTTATGATTTGATTTGTAGACTTAATCAAGCTTACCCATGAACCTCCCCGAAGCTCACCAAATGGTGGAATGTAGACGAAGATTGGCTGCTCGTATTTGACCAAGGCGTCGACGATGTATGATCCGTATTTGAGGACCTCGTTGTACATGTCGCGTTGCCCACCTGAGAAACCTCTCCAGTTGGCAAGGATCATCAATGGTAGCTGCTCGCCATTGTTGAAGTCGCGGATGGCCTGTGCGGTCTTGAAGGCCGAGTTGGGATACCACACCCCTCCAGCTTCTTGCGTGATCTGTTCCATCGAGTCTGGATTCGCTGGGTCTGCAGGGGTGACGTTCTCCACGGAGCGTGTCTCTACCCCAATGACACCTATTGGAATACCGCCAAGTCGGGCACGACCCACAACCACAGTGCGAGCCCAGCCGCCTAAAGATTCTTGAAATGAGTCTCTGTCGAAGAGGCCAGAAAGGAAACCTTCCTCGTCTTCCTTGCCAGCTATAAGCCATCGGACATCGTATGTTTGCTTCGCTGGTGGGAAATAAGCGACATTACGATCCCATGGATCGGAGTGTAATCCAATCGGTATGGGGCTGTTCTTCTTATCAGGCACAAAAGACATCCAGTCAACAATCTTCGAAACGCCTTCAAAGTCATCAGTCGCAGTCATGTGTGAAACACCATTCTTGTACATAATTTGGGTGCCACCAAGCTGAAGATTGGAGGTGTACACCTCACGGCCCAAAAGCTTGTTAATGGCCGCTGCGCCAGTCAGTATGATTGGTTGCCCTTCAATCTGGATGGCTCTCTGCCCAAGGCGAACAAGGTACGCGCCAATACCTAGAAAGTGTTAGCAGAAAAATTTAGCATACTCTGAGTTTACTTACCAACTGATCGACAGGTGACCAATGTGATGGTGAAAATGTCTTCGTAAGCTTTCGAGGTCTCGCCAGCGATCAGACCAGACCCTTTGAGACATTCAACACCTAGACCGTCCTCCTGACCGATGATGGTGGTTATCCTGTGTCGTACTTCCCCATGCTCTGTGATTTTCTCTGTTATTACACCCCTTGACTTTCCATCCTCGAATCGCTCCTTCATGGCTGGGGTCAAGTACAAATATTTGAAGCCGGCTTGGGGTTTCTCTGGATCATTCCACGCAGCTGAGAAATGAGGAATCAACTCTTCGGCCATGCCTATGCGGGCGCCAGAGTTTGCTGATAGGTATATCCGCGGGATACCCAATTTCCGCGCAAGCTCTGTACATTTGAAGAAGAACTTGTCTTCTGTTGGGCCAAACGAGCCAATCTTGAAGGTTATATCGTTCGCAACAATGATGAATCTTCGACCTTTGGGATACTCAGGTGTCTTTGCTGTGACAAGCCATCCAACCATACCATGCGTGTTAGTACCGGCCTCGCGAGAGACTTCCGCGAGATCGTCATGCTCGTCAAGGACCAATTCACTGTAGTCCATGCATTCACCGACTTCGGGCTGTTTGCTCGCCAGAGAAGGATGCTTGCCAACAGCCTTCTGCCAGCTGTTCTGATAGGCTTGTCGAAAGAGATCTGGGAAATCGTAGACGTATTGGGTTCCCATAAGATGAGCCTTGTACCTCTTGGGCTGCAGCCATTCTTTGGTCGGGTAAGGCGTGGAGACCGGTCTTAGATGCATAGCACCAATCCTTGTGGTGCCGCCAATGCTGTGGAAGAGCCATTCTGGTCCTTTGTCAGACTTCTTCTCGGCGTACATCTCGACTTGGATGACATAGCCCGACGTATTGGTAATGACGCAGCGCAGAGGATAGGGCATTCCAGTACTGGGATCTGTACAGATGATACGGATCTCCGCACCTGTCACACGTAGCCGCCAGGCCCGTCGACCAAATCGCTCAAGAAAGCCAGCAAGTGCCTCTTCAACTTCCTGTGGCCGGAGAGGAAAGACCGTGGAGAAGTTGATGAAGATGTGATTCAGGTCAGAATTGTTGTTGCCAATGATCTCTAAAGCATCGAGGATGTCAGTCATAAGTCTGTCGGCTTCTGAGATAAGATATTCAGCTGTGGGGATCTCGTCTCGTAGTCTGCCTGGTCGCACTACGGCTCGCGTGAAGTATCTCTTATCAGTGGCCTTGTCGCTGTTGTCCGCCTTGCCGATGGCCTCATAGACGTGGATATTTCTATTTTCCGTAAACACTGGCTTGATGCGGAACTTGGACAGTCTTCCCAGCTCAAGCTGGAAAGCAAGAGCTGGCTCTATGTGTCGAATGCTGTCATCCTCCTGGTAGGTCGGACCACGGAACGTAAAGTAACCAGGGTATGTTCCATCCTTGTGCCCACAGATGAAGCTGATCCGTCGTACTCTCCGCAAGAGCAGCTCTGACTTGAAATCATTGACGACGTCAGTGATTCTGCTTAGTGTCTCATTGTCGTCGTAGGATTCAACATCTCGAATAGCGACATTGCAGACAGCTGTGAGGTCCGGTTCTGGTTCCCGTCTAGGAGAAGGCTTCCTACGTGAATTTAGTTCCGGCAACAAACCAATCTCGGACTTCTTTCTCGCTCCCATAGCTGGGAATACCTCCAGTGCTCGCTGTAGGTATTCTTCAGCCTCGTCGAGATATTGCACAGGGACAATGACACCCTTTCGCAAAGGCTCCGCGTCTTCTCGGTTGGCGAGATATGACATGTCACTGATGGAGCTGATACGATTGAATGGGTTGCCCTCTGTTGTGGGTGTGGCGGGCGTCGAAGGAAATGAGGAAGTGACGGGCATGCCGAAATCCTGATGGCCAAGTTTGCGAAGTAAGAAATCCCAGGAAATAATGAAAGGTGGTTCGTAATCAGTGTGGTACTCGATAGCTTTCAGCGAGTAAGCTCGGTATGCACGGCGAATATAGACCTCGAGTGCGGCCAATGAGACCCAAGGGTCATGGTATCCGAAGAACTGTGGAAGAACGTCGAAGACAGTATATTTGGAATCAACCACTTCCCTGAGCACGTCCAAGTTAGGTTCCCGATGATCCCAGCCAGTTTCACCATATTTTGACTCGACTACAGAGGACCGAAGGATGTGCTCCATTTGTGATTCTCGCTCCTCAAGAGACGGCAGAGCGCATTGAATAAGCACCTCTCGAGCCTTGAGAGTAACTTTGGCTGTCGCTCTCGATTCCAAGTCGGTCAGCTTTCGCAGGTGTGATCGGAAATGCTTTGCGACGTTGACAGTATGTGGTTTGTTCGGACGGTACATCTCGAGTATTGCAAGAACAAGATTATTCTTAGCTCCAATCCTGCTGTGCGAGAGTACGGTGTGAACGACCTTGAGTATGTCATCTTTGTTTTGTTCTCTGAGCTTGAGTACGACGTCCTCATCACGTGAGTTCCGGGTTGACCAAAGCTTTTCGACGTCGTAATATTGGTCAAGGAGATTGCAGAAGACTTCGTATTCGTGAACCTTCAGGCCCTCAGTATAGCGATCCATTACCTCCACCAACGGTTGAAGAGCGGACTTCAACACGTTGACGTCTCCAGGGCTGACGTTGTCTTCGATGAAACGAGTCATTGCCTTGGTCAATTGCTTTGCTGGAAATTCTGACTTTCGCGATTTCGCTCGCTCGACAATTTGTGTAAATTGCGAATCTAGCTTGCTGGGCATTCTGGCGTGTAGAGCTGAAAATTGAGCATTCCATTCGCCATAGGGTAACTCGGGGTCACGGAGGACTTCAATCAACTCGTTTAGTGTAGAAGCCATGATGACTTGGTTGTCGAAGCCTTGAAGAATATTTTGTAGGATACTGTGCAGCAAGGCGAATCTCTGCGGCGGTTTGTTACCAA